TATCTATCTATCTATCTATCTATCTATCTATCTATCTACCTACCTACCTACCTACCTACCTACCTACCTACCTACCTATCTATCTATCTATCTATCCATCCCTCCATCCATCCATCTATCCATCCATTGATCTATCTAATTTAGATACCCCCCATCTCATTCCCAGAAGAACTATAATTCCCATAACTCACAACCAGCCAAGCAATCAACCATGTTAGATGTTTAGGAACCATCATATGGTCTAATAAATCTGGCAAGCACCAAATTTTGAAAGGTGCTCCGTGTTAGTACTTCAATAAATGAATGTATGGTGGATTAATCCATTGCAATTAACTACAAACGTGGAATTAAACCTTCAGAACAATTGAATCTCTGAATACCTGATACTGGCAAAGGCAGGGCCATTAATAAGGGGGACTTGTTAGCTTCCTATTCTGATTATAGGCTTCCAGAGGCCTATAAGCTGGACACTGGAAATGGGATGCTAAGAAGACTTTCTAATTCACCAAGGACAAGTTGCAGAAAGAGCAGCACTTCCTATTTTAAAAGAGGGATGCAGATGTCCAGAAGACCTAAATCTGAGCCCATAATTTTATGAATGACCTGGATCAGACATTACATCCCTGAGAAATGCTGGCCTGTGATGCAGAAGACAGTGGTTTCACGTCTTCATGTAATACCTGAATCAGAGTGGCCTCTTTCTTTTCTCTTCTTTGACTGATTTTCAGCAGCTCCCTAAATATGCTTCAATATTACATTGTTTGTCCTCAAAGCATTTCCTGTTCCCTGAAGCAGCTGGAGAGAGCAAAATTAAGAGAAAGAGTCCCCCTCCCCACCTTTTTTTTTCCTTTTCTTTGTGCCCTGATTTTCTTTGGCACATATATATATATCTCATTTTTTCTGATTTTGCACATGGGCTTCCAGATTAGGTTGTACAAACAGATGCTCTTTCTACGTGAATTGTTGAGCTTCCGTGGCTGCTCACCTTCTTTGTTTCTCTCCCTGGACCATTCTTGTCCAATATATTTTACTCCTCCTTCAGTTCCTGCATGTTAATTTGTGCTTCTTAGTTCCCATGGTCTCTTAGGCATAGGATTCAGTGAGAGGGATGGCAAAATCAGTGGTTACTTTCTTCTTTCATTTTGGGCATTTTCTTTCCTGACTTTCAACAGAAATCTATAGTAGCTACCATCCGTTTTCAAATGGAAGGCAACCTTTCCATTTTAAGATGACTAAAAGCTGGTGAAAATATAACGGTAAACTTCTTGGCTGCAGAAAGGAACTGAGAAAATTCAACCTATTCTTTAGCAATGATTTGCAGTTAGAGAAGATGCCAGGGTTTCCTGATCCTGAAAATTATTTCAAATTATCCTCCAGGGTTGAGAAAGCCTGATGTAACGCAGTCCTCAATATCAGAGTTTGTTGCACAAATCGCATCCAGAAAGCACACACAGATAACTGATTCAGCTGGATTCATTAACTTCTTTATATACATAATAACACAGGAGTAAATGTACAATACCAAGAGTGGTTCTTCAGTTTCAGATCAGAGCAGCAGGTGCAGACTAGTTTCATTTCCAGCACAGAGCATAATACATACAAGACTAGTTTCAGTTTCAATTCTCAGCACAGCACACAGAGCTGCAGGGCTAAACCACACCCAGGCTCCAATCTGTTTCAGCTCCCATTGGCTGATCTGTTGCTATGCCTATTCATTGGCTGACCTTGTACCATGTCTCTGCCAGTCATGAATTCTCTGACACTCAATTGTGTCAGTTTTGCTGCTAGATTATTTATTTATTAGATTTTTATCCCATCTTTATTACATTATAAGTAATGTACATAATACTCCTTCCTCCTTCTATTTTCTCCATAACAATAACCCTGTAATCTGGGTTGGGCTGAGAGAAAATGACTGACCCTGAATCACCCAGCCAGCTTTCATGTCTATGGTAGGATTAGAATTCACAGTCTCCTGCTTTTTAAGCCAGCACCTTAACCACTACACCAAATTGGCCCTCTGATGTATTAATTCTGCAATTTTGGCTCCCATCTCCAGAGCAAATTTATAACCTTTCACGTAGGAAGTATTGGGATTACTCTCTTTTTCTATTTTTAAGCCACCTTAAACTGGTTCATGGCAGGAAGCAGCAATTAATTAGAACAATTACTGATCTTGTACAATGGTGGCATGAAGTTTCAATTATCAAATTTTGCTAGCAAAACATTTAGAAGGTGGGCAGAGGGAAACACCCAAGATTTGATCCCAAAATATTTTAGTGCAAAATATTTTAAAGTGTAAAAATTGCATTTTATAGACCCTATATGAAACTCCCAGGTGAATGTTCTTGTTCTTCTGCATTATTTTTGAGATCTTCATATTGATGAGAATTCCCTGGAGCATCCTAGGGCAGGAAGGAACATTTAAGCCAGCAGATCTAACCTTCTACTCCAGTATTTCTCAACCGTGACAACTTCCACAGTTCCCCAGCCAGCAAGTGAATTTTCAAGCTGCCAAGGTTGAGAAACACTGCTCTACTCAGGCCAGGAATCCCAGTTAAACATCCCCAGAAGATACGTAACTGTCCACTCAATGAAAAGGATGACAACTGTTTCCACTGTTGAACTGTTCTTGCTGTTAGGAAGAGTGTAGACTATCTGTTTGTGTCCTTTTCTTGCAGCAAATTAATGGGCTGAAAAATCAGGCTCTTGTAGAGGAGACGCAGTGTCTGTGTGATGGTTAAAATATTGAATAAAAGTAGGGAAATGCAGGTTAACCTTACCATGGAAGTTCTTGGGGGTGAGAGGGATGGTCATTAATGTTCAATCAAAACTATTTCACACAGCTGTTGTAAGTATAAATGGAGGAGAGGGTATGATGCATTCCTCCTAGAGGTTCATGAGGAAAGGTGAGAAGTAATAAATTCATAATTTCACTCTTGAACGTGAATTATTCAGCATGTCACACAAGTGACCCACCAAACTAGAAACTTTAGCAATATCACCCAATTTAAAGATGTGTCCATTCCGCTCTCAATTTGAACACCTTGTAGGTTCTTGACAACCTAGATAATCACCTGAAGAAATCTGAGTATTTCCGCTTCCTTTGGTTCCCTCACAGTGACAACGTGAGCATCATCTACCAAGATCATACCAACAAGGTGAGTACATCCTATCCTGATGAAAGTCACCTGCCATTAAGTTTATTTGAGAAAGAAAACTAGGAAGGCAGGGATTAAGAACATTTCAGTTGCTATGGGGTGACCTGAGTCTTGCTCATTTCAACAGGACAGGTTGAATGGGGAAAAAATGATAATGGGTAAACCGTCTGTTGGGTTACCCATTATCATTTTCCCCCCATTCAACCTCCCTGCTAGGCAAAGCATAACTGTCATCATTCTACAGATCAAGAAATTACATCTAATCACAACACAAATATGCTAATCTCCATCAACTGTTCCCAGACCATCTCAAAAGTGCCCAGTTGAAAGAGACTGGTCTGTCCTACTAAAATTAGATGTTAAAGCACTGGGCTTCGACCAGAGAAACCCAACCATGGAATTTGCTATGTGAAGTTTGGATCAATCACTCGGTCTCTCAGACAAAAGTTTCCACCACAAAACCGCGCTCGACGAAACCGCATAGCTGACGTCATCAACAGCGCGACAACAGTGCGGAGACAGAAGCACGCTG